TGACAGTAACTTTACTTGCCGGTCTAGATGGTGTTATGTATATGTCAATACTGTGGACAGTGTGTCTGAGATTGTTGAATTTTTGAACTTCTTCGGTGAAGCTAGCAGATGTTTTCAGGAAAATTGGCAACCCTGTTTTAATGGCTGGAGATATAATTGTACTAGATAACTGTGCTACGCATCATAACACAGGAGGATTTGCATTGGGAGAATCACTCAATGATATAGGAGTATAGAGATCGCATGCATGCGAAATATAAAAACTTCGCCATAGTCCATGCATACCAACAGCCGTGAAGAGGCAACAATGTGAATGTCAACAAATATGAACCAACTAAAAAAAGTTTTTTATAGCAACTAAAGATAATTATATTAATATGAATCATTATCAATCATTTCTAACTCTTCTAAAGCAGCTTCAGCGAGGGTGTACAAATTTAGACTGTAGTTCCTACGATTTTCTCCCACGCTTGCTATCGGCGGTGACATCAACAGTGCTTGGGCTTCACGTTCAACAGCTTCGCGTTCGATATTTTTAGCAATGTCACTCTGATCAGGCGGATTTTGTTGTGTCTCGTCTGAGTTGAAATCGCTTTCGATAGCGTTTCTCATTTCAAAGGCCTCTAGGTTAAAGGAATTCAGCAGTGTTTCAAAATTATTTTGCATCCTTAAAGCCAGATTGAAGTCGTCACAACATGAGCCTGCAAACGCCGCCTTTTTTCGTTGTGGGGAGCAAAGTGTATTGTCAATTTCATCACAGTCACGCAAACTAGTGCACTGCTACTGCTTTGAGAATTGTCATGCGACTTGGGCCACAAAACTCCTTGTGATTCCCATAGCTTTTTATATGGATTGTGGACAGATGTGTTCCCTGTCAAACGCTGTTATGGTATTTTTCGCTTCCTCGGCAGAAGGAATGTTATGTTTGAAATGCTTCTCGAGTATTTTGCTGTCTTTGTTTGGCAAATGCCAGTTCTCAATAGATTTTCTGTCTATTTCTCTGATGTATTTATCAGGATCAGTATCAATTAAAGTATCCTATTTCTCTGATGTATTTATCAGGATCAGTATCAATTAAAGTATCCTTAATTCGAGCTATGTAGCAATTGCTAACACTTGCACACAAAGTCTCCCGATTTTTAAGCTCCTTTTTCATCTTCGACAATAGTTTACACTCTTCGCTGAGTTTCTTGTCCAACTCTTTTACAGTTTGCTTGTCTTCAGGGTGTGTTTGTCAATGTTTTTGCAATACGTTGACGAGGAACAAGTATTTGGATAGGGGCAATTTAAGCGGTTATGTCCTTCTTTCAAGTGACACTTGCCACACGAGGGAAGGGTAGACTCGAAGCATTGCTTCGTGGTTTTTTCCTGCATAAAATTATCATGCTCGTTTTTGACAGTGCACACGCTTTTCTCCTGACCTTCTATCTTATTCTTTTGTTGTCAAAAATACGACTGAAGAGGACTAACAATTTATTGCTATATTGCTCCTACAGTTTCAAAACCATTGCTTTCAAACACTTCAGCTAAGTGTTCTAAATTAACATGTTTTAGCCATTTTTTGTTGGCGTTATTCGAACATCCATTTTGCACACTCCCGGCTTCAATAAAGAAACCCCCTTGATGCAAAATTTTCATCACACGGCGTAAAAATTTCCTATCATGTGGTACATAAAAATGAGCCTTCGACGTTCAATTCCGATGCGACAATTAACCACTCTAGTGATTTCGATAATACTAACAATTCTAATTATACGTTTCTAAAGTAAAATAATACGATTAAGATTCGTAGGGTATGTAGAGGCTCAAACAATGATACAATACTACATATAAGGATAGACAAATGAATAGTACAATTTATATAAAGATACTTTAGAAAGGCAAAAACTTGCTTTGTATATGATACCTATTCATTTGGATATTTTCTTGGCAACATGTGAAATATGAGGTTTCCAGGATATATGTTCATCTAAAATTACACCAAGAAAAACTGCTTCCTTGACCTGATCAATTTTATGATTATTTAACCATATTGGCAAATCAATGCTATGCCTTTTCTGTCTAGGTTTAAAGACAATATAATTAGATTTCTTAATATGTATTGACAAATTATTTGCCTTAAACCACTCAGACAATTTGTCAATTTCACGGTTGATTGTATTCATTAAATGGGATTTGTATTTGTGAGAATAAAATACATTGGTGTCATCGGCAAACAAAAACAAATCGAGAATATTTGAAACATTACAAATATCAAGAGTGGGCCATTACAAATATCAAGAGTAGGTCAACATTACAAATATCAAGAGTGGGCCAAGTATTGAACTTTGAGGCACTCCACACTGAATACTTTTAGATATGGAATAGGTATCATATTGAACGTATTGCAATCTATTACAGAAGAAGTTTTTTATCCAATCCAGAGCCAATCCTTGTAAACCATAATGTTCAAGTTTATCAAACAAAATGTCATGGTTAACGTTATCAAACGCTTTGGAGAGATCAAGAAAAATACCAATTGTAAATTCTTTCCGATCAATGGCTGATGTAATTTTATCATACAAATGCAACAAAGCCAGGGAGGTTGAATGATTTTTTCTAAAGCCGTATTGATTGTCAAAAAGAATGTTGTGTTTGCTTATATAGTTAGTTATACGATTGTATACAATTCGTTCAAACAATTTAGAGAAAATAGGTAAAACTGATACAGGCCTGTAATTTTGAACTAGTCTATGATCACCAGACTTAAATAATGGTATAACTCGTGCTATTTTCATGAGATCAGGAACAATACCCGAAGAAATTGATATATTGATAATATGGGTAAGGGGTTCAATAATAAGGTCAATAGATTCATTCACAGCAAACATCGGAATCTTATCAGAGCCTGCAGCCGTCCCTGGACATAAAGAAATTACAATTTCTAGTGTTTCTTGCTGGGTTGCTGGCTCCAGGATTAGGGAATTTACGAAGTTACTGGAAAGATAAGAAATAGTCGAGTCAGAAATTTTCCTGTGTTAATTTTAACACCAATGTTTGTAAAATATTCACATGATTTGCAATTTCATTTGAATTAGAGATTTTCTTTATTGTCAAAAATAAATGTTGAAGGCAACCTACTGACACATTTTTTCTTATTGATAACTTTATTTAAAATTCTCCATGTATTCTTGGTATTTGTCTTGAAGTTATCTAATTGCTTATTATAGTAAAGGCGTTTAGCAATTCTTAAAGAATGGTTCAATTTATTTTTGTAATTTTTATAAGAAGCCTCATTAACATTATCTGGTGTATTTAAATATCTCTTATACAATTTATCCTTACGCCTTATCGACTTAAAAAGACCCTTAGAAAGCCATGGTTTTGTAAGGGTACACTTTTTGTTCTTTTTTCTTTTTAGTGGGAAACAATTATTATAAATTTCTCTATGTATTCAAGAAACTTTCATAAGCTTTGGTCAGATCATAGAATCCATCAAGATCATGCCAAAATAACCATCTAAACAGTGACGAAACCAAGACACATTCACTTCACTTTTATCACGATAGACAGTGTATGCGTCAACATCCATATCATTGAACTGATTGTGAGTAATATAAAATATTGGCAAGTGATCAGAAATGTCAGAAAGTAATAAGCTGCTAAACAAATAATTATCTGGGTGATTGGTAAATAAGTTGTCAATAAGTGTAGCTGTGTGTGATGTTATTCTTGTAGGAAGCGTTATTACAGGAAAAAATATGTTAGCATACATTATATCCAAAAATTCCCCTGTGAATTGATGACTTTGATGGTTTAATAAGCAAATTTAAATTAAAATCGCCCATCAAATATAACAGACTTTGTTTTCTTTAGAAATTTTTGCCATAAGTATATTGAGATTGGTTATAAAATCAGCAATATTTTGACTAGGAGGCCTATAAAAATGCCAACAATACTGTTTTTTCTTTCAACACTGATTATTTCAATAAATAAAGATTCAATATTTAACTGATCAGGAAAGGCAAGGTCATTACGAAGTTTATAATCTAACTCTATTGTTAAATATACCCAACACCACCCCCAGATCTCTCACATTGATAGCTATGCACAAAGTTATAACCGTCATGTCAGCGGCATGAGATGAATCTTGAAGCCAGGTTTCAGAAATACCAATAATTGAGAGCTTATTATTAATGGAAGCTAACAGAGTTGTTAAGCTATTAAAATTGCGATTAATACTTCGTATATTTAAGTGAGTTAGCAATAAACAATCGGAATACCAGGCTTTTTTTTGCCAACATCTCATTTAAACTGTTTTCAATATAATGATCATAATTAAATACATCTGAAAAGAAATTATAATCCGGATCTATATTGCTAGATAAAGCTATGTTATTGTGGTTGTCAAAAGATAACAGATTAAACTTTAAGCAAGAAAGTCTGTCAGCTTCAAAATTCACTGGACTGTCTGACATCTCATAGTGATTAATAGTATGAGGGGTCATCACCGCCAAAATCCTGCTTCAAATTCGGATGTGGCGAACCTAAATTCTGTTGTTCCAAATTGTTGTTTTATTAGAACAGAATTTAAACGTGCACAACAAAATTTACGTCTCCAGGACAGAATTTAGAACTACGCAACATAATTTTAAACAAAACAAAGTTTAGAACAACGCAATATAATTTGAAACAATAGAACACAATTTAACTAAACACAACAGGATTTGAAATAGCACTACAGAATTTAAAACGACAGAACATAATTCAAAACGACAGAATAGAATTCACGGCATATTCTCAAATTCGGTTCTGCAATCTCAAATTCGGTTCTGCAATCTCAAATTCGGTTTCAACTTCCAAATCGCCGGAAGTGCAGGAACTAATAAGCTAATTTATGATAATTTAAAATGCATAATCATGCTAAGTTTTCTTTTCCCGCGAATTTTGCTAATATAAATTACTCGACAACATGGCGTCGAATAATCAAGGACTTTCTTCAAGATGCATTTCACTTTTAGAAGAAGTAAAGGGACTTTTAGAGGACAATAGGCAAAACAGTAGGCAAGCTGACGTGAACGTAAGTGCTTCGACATTAAGGCAATCGATTTTGACGGCTAGATCAAGTGGAATCGAAGAACAATCGACGACTTCTACGACAAGTGTCACAAGTGTACGAACGCCGAGACATACGATATCACAGTCGACAACCAATACCTCTGGAGCAGCAACCAATACCTCTGGTATTACTACTTCAGAGCAGCAAAGTTCAAGAGCCCTTCAAAATTTCAGGTCTCTATTTGCTCCATATGTAGCATCTTCAAGAAACAACTGGTCGCGTCCTCCTCTTGCAAAAAAAAACAAAAAAGGGACCATTTCAAGTTAAAGAAACATGGACTCATGAATTTTTTTGCCTAGCCGAAACATGTGCGATTCGCGTGCCAACTCGCTTAAAAAAGATTAACCTTCAGAATTCTGGACTTGGTCGAAAAAAAGTTGTGTTCAAATGCAATGACTCTGCTTTTGATGTTCAAAAAGTCTTGCAGGGAGTCTACCCAAAGCTTAGCCAAGCTGGAGGCTTTGAGTTGTTAAGAATTGGTGATCCACGTACATCTCTTGTGCTTATTACACCTCCTGTTACTGGCTACTCTGTGCCTTTTCTAAGGGATTCCGCTGGATTAGGGCAAGCACTTGCCTATATAAGGCCCCTACAGAAAGATCTTGATTTATCTACATCCATTGATGAAGAAATTGAGCAGGTTTGTCATATGTACAGTGCCAGTGTCTAAAAAATTGATGGTACCATTAGTTGAGCATTTGCATGCTCTCTTGTTCCACCACAGGGCATTTACAGTTACGGCTTATTGCTAGTCTTGCTAGCCTGTAGGCAGTCCCATGGCGTCGGGATGAACAGTTTCATGATGATGTCAAAGGGCTGCCTGTAGGCTAATTTGTGTAGGCTTGAAGATATTTACTCAGGTACATGTTAGTATAACAACACAATACTGGTAATTGCATGGTTTTGGTGTACTCAAAAGCTTGTCCAAATTATCCAGCACCCTGAAAAACAGGCTTGCTGAATCCACCAGTTGGTATTTTTTGCATGCATTTGGCAAATTTCAATACCTGTTGAATGTATATTTAAAAATGCTCAAATGAACCAAAAAAAATACAATATTGATCAGAAAGACACCTTTAATTTAAAAACATTTACTATACAATTTCATTCATTTTTATAAGTATTCTATAATTTATTAATCACAGGTAGAAGACAAGAATGTGCCATTTGTGAAATGTATTGAGTGCAATGAAAATGTTGCAATGACACGTTTTAGAAGCCACCAATGTGATGTTTCTAGGTAAGTGTTGATATGCGCTTTTAATTCAGTAATTATTATTCCTATTAAAATAATAGACCTTACAGATTATTCAAGCTTCTACCCAATGGCCTCGTTTCCATGTTAACATATTTTAGCATGCAGATAACCCTTACAAAAAAAGTCTATATAGGCCTAGCCTATAGGCCAACCTATAGGTTCCTATAAGAAACATATAGGTTTTTATAGACAATTGGAACATTTTCTATAGGTGACCTATTGGGATACCTACAACCCTATAGAGCTCGATCTATAGGTGCTTGAAGGCTTCTATAGGGAATTGGAACATTTCCTATAGGCCACCTATAGACTTTTTTGTAAGGGCTATTCCCATGTTTTCCTAGATGAAGTTGTTTGTTGCTGCTATTAGGCTCAATAACAAAGTAATTTTCAACCCTACTAAGCACAAAACATGAAGGTCACCTATAGAAAATGTTCCAATTGTCTATAAAAACCTATATGTTTCTTATAGGAACCTATAGGTTGGCCTATAGGCTAGGCCTATAGACTTTTTTTGTAAGGGTTATCTGCATGCTAAAATATGTTAACATGGAAACGAGGCCATTGGGTAGAAGCTTGAATAATCTGTAAGGTATATTATTTTAATAGGAATAATAATTACTGAATTAAAAGCGCATATCAGCACTTACCTAGAAACATCACATTGGTGGCTTCTAAAACGTGTCATTGCAACATTTTCATTGCACTCAATACATTTCACAAATGGCACATTCTTGTCTTCTACCTGTGATTAATAAATTATAGAATACTTATAAAAATGAATGAAATTGTATAGTAAATGTTTTTAAATTAAAGGTGTCTTTCTGATCAATATTGTATTTTTTTTGGTTCATTTGAGCATTTTTAAATATACATTCAACAGGTATTGAAATTTGCCAAATGCATGCAAAAAATACCAACTGGTGGATTCAGCAAGCCTGTTTTTCAGGGTGCTGGATAATTTGGACAAGCTTTTGAGTACACCAAAACCATGCAATTACCAGTATTGTGTTGTTATACTAACATGTGCCTGAGTAAATATCTTCAAGCCTACACAAATTAGCCTACAGGCAGCCCTTTGACATCATCATGAGAAACTGTTCATCCCGACGCCATGGGACTGCCTACAGGCTAGCAAGAGGGCCCCCTATACTTTTTGCGTGAAGCGTGAAGGGCTTATTTTACTTAGCCGTGAAACGTGATCGGGCCCCCTACACTTTTTGCGTGAAGCGTGAAGGGCTTATTTTACTCAGCCGTGAAACGAGATCGATGATTTTCTTAATCCGTGACTCGTGAAGAGGCAAAATATTTTTACGTGAAAGCATATTGTGAAGAGGTATAGGGGGCCCTCTAGCAATAAGCCGTAACTGTAAATGCCCTGTGGTGGAACAAGAGAGCATGCAAATGCTCAACTAATAGTACCATCAATTTTTTAGACACTGGCACTGTACATATGACAAACCTGCTCAATTTCTTCATCAATGGATGTAGATAAATCAAGATCTTTCTGTAGGGGCCTTATATAGGCAAGTGCTTGCCCTAATCCAGCGGAATCCCTTAGAAAAAGCACATTGTAGCCAGTAACAGGAGGTGTAATAAGCACAAGAGATGTACGTGGATCACCAATTCTTAACAACTCAAAGCCTCCAGCTTGGCTAAGCTTTGGGTAGACTCCCTGCAAGACTTTTTGAACATCAAAAGCAGAGTCATTGCATTTGAACACAACTTTTTTTCGACCAAGTCCAGAATTCTGAAGGTTAATCTTTTTTAAGCGAGTTGGCACGCGAATCGCACATGTTTCGGCTAGGCAAAAAAATTCATGAGTCCATGTTTCTTTAACTTGAAATGGTCCCTTTTTTGGTTTTTTTTGCAAGAGGAGGACGCGACCAGTTGTTTCTTGAAGATGCTGCATATGGAGCAAATAGAGACCTGAAATTTTGAAGGGCTCTTGAACTTTGCTGCTCTGAAGTAGTAATACCAGAGGTATTGGTTGCTGCTCCAGAGGTATTGGTTGTCGACTGTGATATCGTATGTCTCGGCGTTCGTACACTTGTGACACTTGTCGTAGAAGTCGTCGATTGTTCTTCGATTCCACTTGATCTAGCCGTCAAAATCGATTGCCTTAATGTCGAAGCACTTACGTTCACGTCAGCTTGCCTACTGTTTTGCCTATTGTCCTCTAAAAGTCCCTTTACTTCTTCTAAAAGTGAAATGCATCTTGAAGAAAGTCCTTGATTATTCGACGCCATGTTGTCGAGTAATTTATATTAGCAAAATTCGCGGGAAAAGAAAACTTAGCATGATTATGCATTTTAAATTATCATAAATTAGCTTATTAGTTCCTGCACTTCCGGCGATTTGGAAGTTGGAACCGAATTTGAGATTGCAGAACCGAATTTGAGATTGCAGAACCGAATTTGAGATTGCAGAACCGAATTTGAGAATATGCCGTGAATTCTATTCTGTCGTTTTGAATTATGTTTTGTCGTTTTAAATTCTGTAGTGCTATTTCAAATCCTGTAGTGTTTAGTTAAATTGTGTTCTATTGTTTCAAATTATATTGCGTTGTTCTAAATTTTGTTTTGTTTAAAATTATGTTGCGTAGTTCTAAATTCTGTCCTGGAGACGTAAATTTTGTTGTGCACGTGTAAATTCTGTTCTAATAAAACAACAATTTGGAACAACAGAATTTAGGTTCGCCACATCCGAATTTGAAGCAGGATTTTGGCGGTGATGACCCCTCATATAATAGTGATTAATAAAAGGATAACTAGTGATTAGTAAAGTAAAAGGGAAATCGTTGTAGTTAAATGAAGCAAAAATAACACAAACTTAAACAAAGAAATAACTTATCTGAATTAGGCTGTATTCTTTGGCCTCAAAAGTCGCCTAGAAAAATATTTCCGCTGCCATCGGTCTCCATCTAATTTTAATTTATATAAATCTATAGATTTTGGCACGCTAAGTATGAATTTCAATGTTGTCACTCACACAAACCTGCAGTTTTTGAGTATATTGCCACCAAAGTTCGGTATCTTTCACGGCTTCGAAACAAGATGGCCGCCATTTTTGCCCTGGGTACTTCATGTAATATATGATGAACGGTACTAGTTCCAGACCCAATTTAAGCTACTTTCACGCGGTCGAACGGAGGGTTATCGTATTAGCCATCACAAGCGTTTGTTTTATCATTCCGTAAATTGATGTTAAAAAAATGAGAGTAGAAATAAATGAATTAACTTAGTTAACTCAATTCGATCCGCCAATATTAATTTCCGACGTATATGACGGGAAGATTAAATATTAAAGAACTTCGCGAGTATTTGCAGTAGACATACGAAAATACCACCAAAAAATTCCGCTTGATCGATACTATATATTCAGAAATATTCATATAATTTTATTGTTTCTCGCTCAATTTCAAGCGAATTTCTTACCTTGAAATGATCAATGCGGTGAAATTTATGCAAATGACACATTATCAATTTTGCAGTTGCATTTTGAATGTTCCGCCTGATTCAAATGCTCGTCTTTTTGCTTCTTTTCCACGTATAATAATAACAAATATACCAAAAGAATCGCCATCTTCCATTCTATAGCTCGGAGCAGTCTCGGGAAATTGCGAAATAATCTAAGCCTATTATGGCAATTCTCGTGATCGGAAAGTGTTCGGCCAACTTCGGACGCCAAATTCTTGGTAAAGCATTACAGTTTCCTGGTAAAAGCTGCAGGAATCACTTCCGGAGTGTTTGTTTACCCTAGATACGGATTTTGATTGGCTTAGGCAGAAAAACAAATCTTTTAGAGCAATTTTCCTGATTATCGCGCACGGGAACGCACGAGCGTTGAAATGTATTGTGTTGTTGTTTTGTTTGAATCGCATTCTGAAGACGTTTTTGGCTTTATTTTGCAAACTGATAGTGCTAGTAATGATGGAATGTCTTCGTATGAAGACAAGTATCTCAACCTGGCATTGAGAGTCGTGTCTGGAGTTTCAAGGCAAGTATTTGTGTCATTTCTAGACAATTTCTATTTCAATGTTTTGCTGTTGCCATGGCGTTGTAAATTTATTTGTATTTAGTATAGCTTCACTAGTACGACCAAGTATGTCCTCATATCGCTTTTTTGTGTTGAAATAATCGTTTCATACTGAAATTGACAAATATAAATGGTATTTATTTATATTGTTGACGAAAATTTATGGTGTTTTAGGCATAAAAATCTCTGATTCCTAGGCGAAGTAAAATGAGCCTTGAGCACATGTTTGGTTGTTTGTTACATACATAATAGCCAAGTATTCATACTTATATCTTACTAGTTGGCTCTTTTTATAATTTTATATGGCACCATGTCTATCAAAGTTTTTATTCGCACCGATGAATATATTGATCCTGTTCCTATCTGCTGTTCCTGTTTCATAGCCTCAGGGAAGTAGAGTTCTGATGAGTCGTGAGAACCCCACTCACCAACCCAGAGGGAAGGTAGGGGGATGAGTAGAGGTAGAGGGAAGCCCAGCCATTAGGACCTAAGGTTTCGAAAGCTCCCTGTCTAGCTTCCCCACTAGGCCCCATAGTACATGACGGATATGATGATCCTGACGCCAGGAATGTTCTCCCAGATTTTGCTCCTCACTGACATGTCCAGGATCCATTTCGATCAACTGTGAGCTTGAGTTCATTTGGCTTAATGAACTGTGAGCTTGAGTTCATTCGACTCTTTTTTACTAAGGGAATGCTTCAGGAGGTAGTTTCCTGGCCATACCAATACATATGCCCACATACAAATAACTCAAAAGTTATCCCCATATACTAATAAAAAAGGGTCTTGCAGTCCACCAACCTTGAGAGGTTGATTGCCTTTTAGTATAATATGCAGGTTTGCTAAAGGTCGACAGTGAGATTGAAAATTATTGGAGTGTAAAAACCTTATATCATGGTCTGTGGGCAATAGACATAATTTCTCGGGTTAGGTACAAAGCACTTATGGCGTTTGTGAATATGGTAGATCCTGTACTAAAGACTACAGCAATAAACTGCATCAACAACTGTACCAGCCGTCACAGAATATTGTTGTTGCAGACAAACACACTGTCAAATCAAGAAATAGGTTGGGGGTTAAGCAGTTCATGAAAGCTAGATGACCTACTATGTGGGGAATAAATCTGTGGGTTGCTGCAGACAATCCTAATGGTTATATTGCGACTTTGAAATTTATACAGGAAGAAGTCCAGATATTCATCACAACAGATTTGGGTATGACGTGGTGATCTGATATCAGTTTGGTTACGGTCTTAGGTCTTTTGTAGTACAATATAAAGGAAATATTTTCACCACATAATCCAATTATGTGCTTTGGCAAACATTACTGCTTTAGTAAACATTACTGCCCTGGAAAACATTACTTTTTTAAAACTACTAATTATGATGATGCCAGCCCAACAACACTTGGTCATGCTATTTGCAAATATTTTCATGTTCCAGATTGTGAAAACAATCAATTTCTAAACAAATGAGTAGTGATTATTTCAAATTTGAATAGCATGACCCAATTTTGAGGCTGGTTATGCCACTAATAACTAAAGTCAATGGTGTAATGATTATCTAAGAATGTATGTAGTAATTGTAGAAATAAAGACATTTTGCTAATCATGATTTGAGTGTTCTTTTGTGGGTATCACAGACTTATTTTGGTGCCATACTATCTTTGGAGAATAAGAAATATTGGAAATTTGTATTGATAACATGTTGCAGCAATAAAAAAGGACCTTTGATAAAGGTATTTGTTTCATGTGAGCACAAAATGTAAATTTTACTCCACTACCTAGTTTATATAAAAATTCAATAAAAATATTTCTATTTATGCTACATGCATGAAACTTCGGGTACTTGTAGATCATAACCGTGTCTTTCTGTCATATTCATAAATTTTTTTGACATATTTGAAATTTGAACCGCTAAATACATTTATGCATAATTGCAACATTTTTTTATATCATAATTTATGCAAATTTATGCGAGTAAATCGTTAACCAAGCTCCGGATGAAATTGAAATTGGTATTGTTGGAAAGCGGAAGTCCTCCTCTTTCGAACGATGCAATTTCTGTTTCCGTGCGATGTATAATTTGAGAGATATAAGCGTTTGAAACAACACCACTCGAAATTGGTACTTTTCGACCGGATGAGAATGAGTTAACCTTTTATGAAAGGCCTCTGCGGCCAAGAGTACCATTTAAGGTGGCTCCCTATAAACGTTCCTGGAAGCATGTGTATCTAGGTATATCAATTGGCTACCCCACCTTAGAAAGATTCCCCGAACGTGCTGAGAAGCTAAATAGAAAAAACGTTTTACAATACATAATAATATAGTATAATACTATAATAAGAATCTGGGCCGTAGCTAGCATGTATAGTTTGGGGGGGGGGTGGGTGTAGGCCAAAAATTTCCGATTGACGAGAAAAATTTCCGAATATTTCATGGCCTACGAATTAGCCACGAAGGTGTTTGCTATCCGGAAAATGAAGACGCTATTTACAAACAAAAATACGCATATTTTACGCACAAACATATTACAGAAGCATGCAGTGCCGTAGGAAGCTCTTTTTTATTGGGGGGGGGGCTGAGAACGAGGGCGGAAGGCCTAAATAAAGGCCTTAAATTTAGAGTCTCTGAAATGCCATTTCCTGGACATTGGGGAAGTTTTGACAGAATTCAAATGGCCAGAAAACAGCGTTTTAGTATGTCGAAATTTACAATTTGCTTACAATTTAGTAGTACTAAATGGGCGAAAGTGTATTTAATTAACTATATATTGGGGAAGTTGCAGGAAAGTATGGATAATATGATTCTTCGCAGTTTGTCATGGATAATGTAACCACTTAGAATTAATCAATTGTCATTATTATTCATCTCGTGTTTTACAATAAAATATTATGATCATAAAGCAAACTCAAAACGTGCATATGCAACTGTGCATTCACTTCCAGATTCACTTAGAAATTATAATTTATAGGGAGCTCAGCCCTCTGCTACTACTGAAAAGTTAGGGGGGCTCAAGTCCCCGCTGCCCCGTGGTTTTTACGGCCATGTCATAAACCTCTCTCAGTGTAGTCACCTTTTCGTGGTTCTTTAACAACAGGTAATCCAAGACTTCATCTTCACTCTCCATCTCACTTTGCGACGTTTCACTTTCTTCATTTAAGTAATATTCCGCCACGACACCTTGACAGATACTTTGAGCATAGATGATATCTCACTTCTGTTGCGTTCATTACGGTGTCTGGAAAACCAGCTGGGAAAATCTTTTTATCAACCTCTCCTTCAAGCGAAATCTCCTATAGCCCGATGCATCGCAGTTCTCGATTGTCGCAACAGTTCTGACGAATTCCGCTTCAATTTTCTTCATGTAGTAAATCTCCTCGTTGTCAATTAATTTTTCTTTCACAAACCGTTCACAAAAAAAGTTAAAGGATTCCTCGTATTTGCACTTAGCACGAACTTCATCATCGTCTTTTGTTACATCGGTGCGTCTTACAAAATTTGGGTATCGTTGATAACACCGTCTGTGGTAGTTTACTTCTAATGCCGCGCAGTCCTTGTCAGCAATTTGTAAAAGGATACTTTCGACCCCTTTTCTCGTAGCTGCTTCTCTCAATCTTCCCCCGTCAATGGTTTCTGCACTCACCAACCGTTTTTCCTTTCGTTTTCGAGAGTTCTATCAAATAGGTAAAAATCATCGTTACCATGTTCATTATGCTTAACATGCTTATCAGTATAAATACGTTTACTTACTGTTCCAGTCACAAGAGACTTTTTCTTACAAATGATGCAAACAGGAGCCAACACATATTTTGATTTTGTTTTACTTGATGCGTTTACTGTTGATCGTAATAATTTCTTTGACGGTTCGGATGCGTGGGTCGTATCTAAATTAAAAAAGCTCAATCAGAACATTATATAAGTATTAATGGTAACTTTATTTAATTTTCTAAACTTACAACTGCAAATCTCACTATATCAGGTAATTTACAATTGGCAACTTGATATATTACTATTAAATGATTTTATAACACATGTACACGATTAAATTTACTCTATTACTCTAAATACATACTTATACAATAAAAATTTTAAAGTTTCATCAAGTCCGGATTCACCCAGTTCTTATTTCGACAACAAAATATGTAGTAGGTTGACCTTATTGCAATATTAATAATCATTTTAATAACGTATATTACATGAGCTTTATCTAAATTAAAATGTTCTAACATGTCTATAAAACCAGAAGATTCCTTGTCAAACACACCTTTTTTCTTTTGTTCCATAATCATATCTTTATACTTGGAGTATTTCCTGTTAACGTTATTTCTGAGGTTAGTCTCATATCCAACGGTTAATTCCAGAATATACAGACAATTGTCTTTCGTCAAAATTAGTAAATCAGGCCGATAATCATCACCAGTGATTGTAGAAAGATTAGAGAATGACGACAATGTATCAGCATAAATGGTCCGGATATGTTCTGATGGAAGGTTATCAGCAATGAAATTTAGAATTGAGTCATGTCTCCAAGTAATAATCGATCGAGGTAGGAACTGCAACCAGCGACGACGTGTAATAGAGATTCAGGATTAATGCAGAACAAGCATTCAGAAGACGAGGATAGCCCCCATCTTTGAAGGTTCTTACGGATTGGCAGCGAATTGTTTATATAACGAATGGTAAAGTTGAAAATGTTTTTAGGCAATTTGGACTGACAGGCTTGCCAGATCGTATTTACTTGGGTTAAGGAAAATCTTAATACACTGGTAAAGAATGAGCCTTGGTATGTTAGTTGGTTTGTTAATTTATCTTCTTGAACATCACGAAATGACTTAATCACTTCCTTCGTCGAACTGTATTGGTCGTATTGAATATTAGCATGATTAGTTGTTGACTTCCAGAGATGGATTATTGATTCATTAGGAGATGATTTTAAAGTATTCCGAATTGTTACCTGGCATTGTAAAAACTTAGTTGATGGGAGGGGGGGGGGTGATGTTAAGACCAAATTTGTCGCTGGTTATGTAGATGTTACTCAGCGTTCCAGAAATAGGTACCTCAAGCCATTTGCGAACATATTGCGTAAATAAAGAATCCAGGTTTTCCAAAATCCAGGTTTTTGAAATTGATGTAATAGTAAGATGCCAGGAGAGTTTCGATAAAACATAACGATTGTAGAATCTTGTTCTATTAATATTAATAATAATAATAATAATGGAAATTTGTTTAATATATAGTTGTGTAATAATAGAGACAATGGTAATGGCAATGATAATAATAATACCTACTTACCAGAGGTTGCAGTTGCCTCATCATCTAAAGACTCTAAAGGTTCGGTCACACGGAGCGACAAGTCGCAGGGGCATGTTGCAGGGACATGTCGCCCGAAACGAGTCACACGAAGCGACAATGCTAGGCGAAAACTTGTGAACAGACTAGCTTACACGATGCAACAAGTCGCGGCAACGGTTTTTGTCCCCGCGACACGTCGTATGAAATCAAATCAATTTGATTTCATGCGACATGTCGCGGGGACAATTTTTTGTCCCCGCGACAACGCTTACACATGTGACACACAATGAAATTCGACCCCGCGACATGTCCCTGCAACATGCCCCTGCGACTTGTCACTCCGTGTGACGGAACCTTAAAGGTTTTGAGTCATCTGATCTTATAGTACCAGCTGTGCCTTCCCGGACCGAATTATGGCTCTTTCTATTGACGTTTTGTTTGTGCATTTCGAATAACATCTGTGGTAACCAACTGCTGAATTTTGCCATTCTTTATCGTCAAATCATGCTGTATTCTCTGCTACCTCTTTTTACTTTCCATCCAATGTCTTCTAAATTTCTCTACATTCTAAAACTCGTTTGTATGCATACTCTGTAAAGCGTGCAAGCAGAGCCGTGCCAAGTGGTTTTTGGTTAGGGCGGGGGCATGGGCGTACCGGAAGGAAAAAATTAGGGGGGCGGAAAGAAATTTGCCCGACTTTTTCGGATTGCGCCCAACCAGTGCCGAAAAATATTTTTTCCGGAACAATTAATTTTGGCGACCTCCCCCCCCCCAGTCGCCAAAAAAATTTCGGTCAGTGTACCATTTTAGGGGTCCAAAAATTTTTCGGACATGCCAAAATTTTTCGGAACATCAAACAAATTTTCCAAACATCACAAAATTGACATAATTTCCCGCAAAATTGACAGAATTTGTCCCATTTATTTTTATAATAACCCAATATTGCCCGACTGTGAAGCGAATATTGCCCTACTGGCTTTGTTTGCCCAACAAACTGGGGTTATTATTAAGAGAGATATTATTGCTTTGACTACTTTTTTGGCTTTTTAATTTCCCACTCTTCGCCCGACTTATGTTGAACATTTGCCCGACTTTTCGACTTTGTAATCTTTTTTGGGGGGGGGCAGCTGTCCCCCCCCGTCCCGTACGCCTATGGGCGGGGGTGAAATAAAAAATTTGGGCCCCCTCCAATTTGGGGTCCCCCTCAAAAAAATCTTTCCAGAAACCGACGAATTTTTCCGGAAAATACTGGGGAGGCGAGGAGGCCCCAAAATTTTTTTCAAACACTAGGTTTACATAATGGGGGCTTAAATTTAGTTTTGAAGACCTTTTTAGACCAATTTTCCAGAAAATTCCTTAATATTTAACACGTTCCACTTTCCAGGCCCTGTCTCCGCAATTTGGGCCCCCTTTTTTACTTTTCTTTGGGGGAGGAGTGATACCCCCCACCCCACCCCCAGGTGGCACGGCCCTGTGTGCAAGCTGTCCACTTTCTCCATCGAAATGAATCAAACAAAAGAGGCCATGCTTGGCTGTAACATTTCTTCTACCTTGTACTTCATGTAAAATAAAAATATAATGCTCGAAGTGCACGGGAAAAGACTTGAACTAGTACCGTTCATCATATATTACACGAAGTACCCAGGGCAAAAATGGCGGCTATCTTGTTTCGAAGCCGTGAAAGATACTGAACTTTGGTGGCAATATACTCAAAAACTGCAGGTTTGTGTGAGTGACAACATTGAAATTCATACTTAGCGTGTCAAAATCTATAGATTTATATAAATTTAAATTAGATGGAGACTGATGGCAGCGGAACTGAAAGATATTTGCCCACAGAATACGGCCTATACCTGAAGAGAACTTATGCTCTGAATTTGAAGAGCTTCAAGTAACTGCGGACTTTAGATACAACAAAAGCGTGTGGTCGTGATGGTATTTCAGCTCGTCTGCTAAAAGAGTGCAGTTTCCAGATTGCGCCCAGTCTGTGCGAATTATTTAACTACTCCTTACGTATAGGCCGTCAGCCGTCTTCCGTCGGAATGGAAAGCTGCTGACATTACTCCCATACACAAAAAAGAATCAAGGGAGCATGCGGAAAATTATAGACCCATACCTCTTCTTCCTGTGATTGCCAAACTGTTGGAACGGTGCACAGGTACTTTATGAGCACATGATAAGTGCTATTTCTCCGTTGCAACATGGTTTTGCAAGGAATCGTTCGTGTATTACTCAACTCTTACGAGTGCTTCATTCAATCGCGCAGAACTTAGACCAGAACATCCAAACTGATATACTATACTTATATTTTGCCAAAGCTTTCGACTCGGTCGATCATAGTTTAATAGTGACAAAACTCAAGTGTTACGGCGTGAAAGGGAGAATGCTTAATTGGTTCCAAGACTATCTTACTAATCGGACTCAAAGAGTAGTTATGAACGGGGTAGCTTCTGATTGGACACTATGTTACTTCAGGTGTTCCTCAGGGTAGCATAATTGGACCAATGCTGTTTGTACTATTTATTAACGACCTGCCAAATGTCGTGCAACAAAAAACGAAGGTTGCCTTATATGCTGATGACACCAAAGCCTCCAGAGGGATAACGTCCGAATGTGATGCTCAAGAACTACAGCAAGCTTTGTGTAATTTGACGAGTTGGAGTACCAGCAATAATATTTCTTTCAACGAATCCAAATGCAAGGTGATGTCAATTACTCGAAAGAAACGTCCTGTCACCTTTGCATACCACCTTGACCAGTTTCTCATAGTCAACGTTGACCAAGAAAAAGATCTCGGGGTATTAATGTCAAAAAACTTGTCTTGGGACTCCCACATCCATAGGATAACTGCTAAAGGAAATAGGATGCTGGGGTTGCTGAAGAGAACCTGTCCTCTATTGATGAATGTAATGGTAAGGCGAACACTATATTTGGCTCACATGAAGTCACAACTTTGCTACGCTAGTGAAGTCTGGTCCCCTCACCATTGTTCCCAGAAGATCAAACTGGAACAAGTGCAAAGACGTGCCACCAGATGGATCCTTAGAGTGAAGGTGGGACACGTTACTTACAGAGACAGACTAACTAGTCTTCATCTGTTACCTCTGTGTTATGATCGTGAAGCTTAAGACCTTATATTTTTCTATAAAGCTCTTCATGGTTTATATGATCTAAATGTACTGGACTATGTCTCTTTTGTCACTCACGAACGGACACGTCTTAATAGTAATTCAACTCTAGTTTTAAAAACTCCACTTTGTAAAACAAGTACTTTTAAAGCCTCGTATTTTAATCGTATTGTTAGGATGTGGAACTCTATATGTAAGGTTGCACCGAGTAGTAGTTTTAGTAGTCTCGCCTCATTTAGGTTTCAAATCAAACTTTCTAACGTACCTTTAGGTACTGTTTTTGATGTGGACTTGACCTGTACTTGGTCAATCGTTAGAGACTGCGCTTGTCATAGGACTTGAGGTGCTTTTACATTCTGCGATTGGTTGGGCCCATGGGGTATACGTATTTTGTAAAATGAATAATTATCCAGCTTGCACGTTTTATAGCGTTTCACAAGACATGAAATTAGGGGGGGGGTTATATTAATCTCTGCATTTGGTCCTACCTAAATGGAGTGTGTAAAAGCACTTTCAAGAATTATAAGCTGAAAATTTTATTAATCGTAATATTTAACTTATTTTGTAAATGTACATGGGGGTAGCCTTGCATGGGTTCTTATGACCCGTTCGTTACTTTCCCCTTTGGGAACTAGCTGTTACTGTTCCTAATAAAGCTGTTAAAACAAAACTCTTTGTAACCGATCATATCGAGACTGTGGGAGACCATAAAACAATCAACTGCATGATCAACTCCTCCCTCTCGCTAGGTTATTTTCCCTCTGCTTGGAAATCCACCCTTGTCGATCCAAGGCTCAATAAAACTGGTCAACCTGCATCGCTATCAAATTTAAGACCAATAAGTAATCTCCAGTTTGTATCTAAACTGACGGAAAGAGCTGTAAGTGACCAGACACTTGAACACATTAAATGTTCAGATATATACCCAATCCTACAATCAGCATATCGAGCTGGTCATAGTACGGAAACAGTCTTACTAAAAGTACATAATGACATCATGTGCTCTATGGACCAACAAAGAGTCTAACTCTAGTACTTTTAGACTTGAGTGCTGAATTTGACACTGTAGATCATCAAGTGTTATTACGTCGTCTTGCGGTCAGCTTTGGCATAACAGGTGCCGCCCTTAAATGGTTTAAATCCTACTTAACTAACAGATCTCAACGTGTGCTAATAAATGGTAACTACTCCGAAAGTTTCTCTCTCCCTCACGGTGTTCCTCAAGGCTCTTGTCTCGGTCCGTTGCTTTTCACAATCTACGCAAGCAAGCTATTCGAAATAGTTAAGTGTCACCTGCCAGACGTGTATGCGTACGCTGATGATATTCAATTATACCTTTCTTTTAAGCCGGACGGTGCTACTAATGAGCTTGACGTAATATGTGCACTACAGAATTGTATCAAGGACATCGGGACTTGGATGACAGTTGATAAGCTTAAACTGAATGATGGGAAGACAGAGTTTTTAATAATTGGAACCGCTGCTCAGCTCAAAAAGGTTAACATCTCTAGTATTGTCATTGGTCAAGATAATGTTCCAGTAGTATCGTGTGCCAGAATTCTCGGAGTATGGTTTGATAACAACCTTAATATGTCACATCATATAAATAAGACTTGTCAATCCGTAGTATATCATCTTCATAACATTAGACGTATTCGAAAGTTTTTAAGCTATGAAGATAGAAAGTCTGTGGTACAAGCACTAATAATGTCAAGGATAGACTACTGTAACAGTCTTCTATTTGGTGTCACAGATGTACATCTGTCTAAACTACAACGGCTGCAAAATACAGCAGCACGTCTTATCTGTTCTATCCCTAAACATGATCACATCACTCCGACTCTCATCAAACTACACTGGCTTCCCGTTCGATTAAGGATCAAGTTCAAAATTGTCATGCTTGCTTTTAAATGTATCCATCAGTGTACACCTCTCTATCTTGTCAATCTTTTAAAAGTAAAAAAGACATCGTGCTATAGTCTAAGATCTAACGAAGGCACATTGCTTGAAGACTACAGTATAAAAACAAAGAAAACACTCGGCGACAGAGCATTTGTAACCTCCGCTCCAAAAATCTGGAATTAATTACCTATGTATATTAGAAATCTGCATAACTTTAGTATTTTCAAGAAATTAGTTAAGACTTATTATTTTTATATAATCTTCTTTATATTTTTAGTTAGTAACCATTCAGCATAGAATAATTTTAGTGTAATTATGTTTTGTGATGCGCATTTGATCATATACTATAACATATTAATTTCCGCAAAATAAATATTAAATACTATTATTATTACAATAGTCCAGATGTGAAGTAACAATAGCATGAACCGAAATCTTTGTTGTATCTTCTGAAAAGAATTTCCTTATCTGCCGGATATTATAGAGGTTGCAATATGCCTCACTATACACACCTTTCCAATGTGAATATCCATCGACATATGTGAGTCAAACCACATTCCAAGGCTTTGCACCACCTCTACAGCCTCGATCGTAGACTCACCATCTGTAATTTCAATGATTTGAATCATATGCTGCTTTGAACCGATAATAAATTCAGTCTTGGAATCATTTATCAAGAGACGGATAGAAAGCATCCAGGCACGAAGTCAGCAACACAGTTTTCAATACTCTTAGTGCAGCATCTTGTGATGATAGAGATGTATCCGGCCAAAACGAATGATAAATCTGGGGCGTCATCTGCATAAGTATGTGCATTGGGAAGATGTTTATCAATGATCTTAAATAACCCAGCAACGTAGAGTATGAACTGGACAGGGCCACGACAGCTACCCTGCGGCACTCCCGATTGAAGATTGAAAACTTTTGATTTATGGTCTTTTATTAAAATCGTTTGTTTTCTCTCAGATAAATAAGATGTGAGCCATTTGAAGGCATTTCCAGCTACATCAAGGTCCTTTTCAAGTGTCTCCAGGAGGATTTCATGGTCGATAGTGTCGAATGCGGTACTTAGGTCGATTAGCACAAGAAGCGTAACCTTCTGGCGATCCATTCCTTATGAGAATGTCATTCCGGACTTTTAGTAAAGCTGTGTCTGTTGAGTGATTTTTCCGATACGCTGATTGATACTCGGGAAAAGGGGCATTTGTAGTACAATCTATAGATAACTGAGAAATCGTGAACCAATGCTATTTTCCAATGATTGGGTACAATTCCTTCAGAGAAAGAGAAATTAATTATTTCAGTAATGACTGGGGTCAATTCATGACAACAGAGTTTAACCATGCAAAGATGTAGGAATAGGGTTCAATTGACTGGAAGCACTTGAAGATTCAAGGAAAATCCTCCAATCTTCATCCTCACAAACCGAAGAAAATTCATCTGCATTCACTTCAGGCAGATGACATGGAACATCAGGTGGATTAACGGAGATCTCGTCAATCTTTGATTTCACGAGTTCAATTTTCTTAAGGAAGAACTGACCAAACTCGTTAGAAAGGATGGAAGGATCGTTATTATGAATACGTAACTCCTCAACTAGACGTTCTTTGCTCACAGAGTTCACAATTTGGAATAATTTCCAGCACATTTATCAATAAGGTTGGAATAATACATTTTTCTGGTGCCATTCAATAAAGCACTGTAGGCATCGCGTACCTTACGATAAGCATTCTTATCACATTCAATTTTCGATTTAAGCATGATCCTTTCCAGTTTCCTACGTTTAGCTTCCAGCTTCTTTAAACTATCATTGAACCAAGGAACCATTGGTCGAACTGCTGTCAACCATATGATCAATGATAACGGTGATTTTGTTCCTTGCAGAGCGCAAATTAACACAATGTTGGTGTTGAAGAAAAGTATTTGTTTTAGGCTCCAAACATGGACGACTGACATCGCTTGGTTTATCTTTCATCGGAAGCATGGGTATTTCGATCAAAGGAAGGAAATTCAGGCACTCCAATGACAGTGGCAATTTTGACTTGAAAGAATACAAATAGAGGCTCCGTCAATCTTATGCTGGAATTCATCTAGAATATCATTTGTAGGAGAAAACAAGCTTAAGGCACTTTTATGCATGCTTGTTGCCGAAAGTATATACTAGACTGATTAGCGTTTGTTATTGAAGTAACGCATCGTTGTGGTATGCAAATTTATTTTGCATTCTTGCAAGCCTAATTCCAATGCAGAGAAAATATAATTTACGAAATAAGTCATTTTTCCTATGGGAAATTCTATTTCTTATAAAAATTTTCTCACCATTTTCAAATCCTATAGGAATTCTTATAGGAATTTTCACTTCTTATAGGAATTTTTTCGACCATTTTCCAATCCTATAAGAATTCCTATAGAAATTTTCAAATCCTATAGGAATTCCTATAAAAATGTTCATTTCCTATAGGAATTCTTATAGCCATTCCCAATCCCATAGGAATTTTTATTTCCTATAGGAAATTTTCGTAAGGGATAACTCGACAAGCCTCTGCAGTTTGTTCAACATAACAGGCTGCCTACCCATATAATGGAAACATGCGAACGTTATACCCATCCACAAAAAAGACTGTGTCGAACCCGTGACCAACTACCATCCCAATAGACCTTTCCCCTTATAACCAAAATTTTGATCTAGGCAAGTCCAGACAAATATTTCATCACAGCTTGAAAGAGCGTCACAAAATTAGTAATATTCCAAAGTTTCGTTGCGAAATGTTGTAAAATGAGGAAAATAGACCCTTGCGAAGTTTGCAATTTTCAGTCCTTTTGCATTACAAACGGGAAATTGCAACCCCAACACCCGAATCGGATGCCAATTTCCCGTTTGTAATACAAAATGACTGAAAAACGGCAAACTTCGCAAAGCTATATTATCCGCATTTTACAAGATTTTACAACAAAACTTTGGAATATTACTAATTTTATGATGCTCTTTCAAGCTGTGATGAAATTTTTGTCTAGATCGAAATTTTAGTTATAAGGGGAAAGGTCCATTCCCTTCTGCCAATAATTTCCAAAGTTCTCGAAAGACGCGTTTTCAATAACATTTACCCGGCCCGTTTTCCCAAGATGTAAATCCAGTTAATGTATTGTTATATCCATTCTGTAACTTACTGTGTCCAGTAATCTTGGGGAACTGCTCCTAGTGCATTACAATCCCATATACCATCAACCTTTCCACCGGCAAGTGAACTACAAGAAGATTAAGTAACATTCTCTAATTTGGTGATGACTTTGTAATGTCGTGACTTTGTAATGTTGTATAAGGTTTTCAATTTCTTACATTCTTTATGTTCACTTGCGCATCTGACAAGAGATCAACGAAAACATTTGTAAAAAGCTCAGAATGTAAAAAAACAACTGAATGAGGTGTCATATATATTGCCACACCAATAATTTCCCACATATGTTAACTGTTTATTTAAGGTTACAAAACACCTTTGAGTGTTAATTTTGCCTAAAATTGTTTTATTGGTTTCAATGAAAGCATTAGACTAGTTCTACTATCTGACCAAGTTTGAACAAAAAATGTTGAAAACTCGCCGAGTTATTTAATAAAATACATTTCGCTGCAATAAGAAAAACATTGAAAATGTAATATTTGAATTCAATTTTCTCCCGAAACATTTTACGGTAATTACTGATTTTCAAACGAGTTGTGCTCCTGCGGGTTTTAACCAATTTTTCTCAAATTTTCACAGGACATAGCTAAATACGTCAGCTTCAAAATTGTGTTCGGCTTTTTTTAAATTTTGGATATTTTAAAAATAAAGAGCAATTCACTCAAACAATTCAGAAATATATTGCAGTCATCAAAGAAATCGCCATATCAGCGGAATGACGAAATAAACAAAAATTTCCGAACACAGTTTTTTAGAACAACTATTTTACTGTATAAAAATGATATTTTCATAAATATAACTTAAAACCAGCAGGAGCACAACTCAAAAGCGTAACGGTACCGCGATTTAAGATTTTCCTGAATAATTCTTATATTATTTTATTGTTTGTTAATTTTACACCTTTACCATATTTTGCATACACTGGGGAACATTTGGTGAAAATTTGATTCAAATCGGACTGATATTGAGCGCGCAGTAGCGATTTTCCGCAAAACGCCAAAAAGGGTGTCCTGTAACCTTAAGATTTCTTTATGCTGAACCAATATGCATGCAGTATCACTTGTTGCGGTATCAGGTACAGTACTACTCTTCTAAACGGGCGATAATGACTTTAATAATTAATTTCATTGTTTTAATAGCCGTTTTCGTCAGGTTACCGTCCTACTTGCTTAAGGTCATCAGATGAGATCGAAGCTGGCAACGTCTAATTAACTACTATAAAACTTACGTAGGATCACATCGTCAGCCCCGACTCCAAATTATTGTTTCGTAAAAGGTACGTACATATACCTGGAAAAAACCATGAAATATTATAAACATTCTGGGGTTATTTATTTTAATAATGTATGTTTTTGTCCATATACTTTATAACGCACTAATTTAAGTAGAAACACTAGAGCTAAAATGAAATCGATGTTTAGAATCTGCTGTGCGTTGGACGTTGGGCCCCGCATATAAGAACCTAGAATTTAAGAACCATGCAGTTAAGCTAAAATATTTTATTTAAACCCCTCTTAAATAAGAACTTGTTCAGGCTAGAATTTCAAAACAGATTCTTATATTGATTTTTTTTCTGTGTTGGTGTTATCTACTCAGGTGAATATGATGTTTGTGATGTTACTCTGGGTGTATATCCACACCGGATGTACACTCAGAGTAACATCACAAGTTTTGATGGTTGAGCATTGGGCTAAGTATTCCAAAGGTCGTAGATTCGATTCCCACCGTGGCCAGGCATATTTTTCCAGCTTGCCCGCGGTGTGGATATACACTCAGAGTAACATCACAAAGACTCGTGTATTATCAAAATAGAGTCACACTTAACAATCTAGTGTAGCTTTAAATTGCTTATAGGATATATATATATATATATATATATATATATATATATATATATATATATATATATATATATATATATATATATATATATATATGAAAATGTTCTAGAGTGCGTGTTATATAATTTCCATACCCAGCGCAAGCAGAAAGATGTTATCTTCCGCGGCTGGGTTTTGAACCCGCGACCTTCGAATTACATAACACTTGCAGAACGAGTGTATCTAAAAGTCGAGGGTCGAGAGTCGAGAGTAAAGGTCGAGAGTCGCGAGTAAAAGTCGAGAGTCGAGAGTAAAAGTCGAGAGTCGAGAGTAAAAAGTCGAGAGTAAAAAGTCGAGAGTAAAAAGTCGAGAGTCGAGAGTAAAAAGTTGAGAGTCGATCGAGAGTAAAAAGTCGAGAGTCGGCAAATGTCATCAGAAACAACAAAGTCAAAATATTTTTAACCACGTTTAACACAATCTATATATAGCTTTACATAGCCATTCCGTAACAAGTACCAACGGCTGAAATACAAACTTTCCAATAAATATTGCTCTGTATACAACAGTCAATAATAATAACGTGAACAAAAAAGATTGGATAAAAAAATAATATCGCATTTGATGCCTCAATCTTGCTAAATGTTTTCACATATGATTTCATTTTAACTGGCACATAAACTCCGCTGAATTTTGACAGCCATCTCCAGGCTTGTAACTAAAATGTCACTTATTCATTAACGTACGTTTATATCAAACGAGAGCGTATTAAGAAATCCACGTTAATCACAATCTAACGATTCATACAATTGTGAATTCATAAATACGAGCCAGTAAAAATAGGATTCTTTTGTCGTATGGTGTGATGGTAATATGTCTCGCACGTGATTGTAAAGTCCTAGTATAGTATGTAGCTTCACATACGAGTAATTTTTCGCGGAAATAGGTGCATGTAAAAGCGGAAAGGATGGACAGTAACATATATAAGGAAGCAATATTAAAAACTAGTTATTAGATAATAATTATTATTATACGGCAAGCATTTGTTTTGATGAATCGCGCAATTTGATTGGCTGCTGACGAGGCAGGATTTTCCCGTATTACCCACGGGCAATACGCAATTTTTTTGCCCCGCGACAAGAGCCGAGTTTCAAACGGCAAAAAGTGTCTAAAAGTCTTTCAAAACTATTCAAAACGAAGAAAAATAAACCTAAACTAAAGAAAAGGAGCACCTTCTTTGGATAAAGAACTTTCTCAATATGTTTTTGTTAGCGAAAGTCGAAATTACAAGGTAAATTTTACAATGTTTATAACTATTAAAGAAGTCAGGAATAGCTGTGTTTTGACTAAAGCAGCCACAACTAAAGCAGCCACAGATTTATATTTTTTCCCTGAAAATTTCTGGGGGTTTTCGATAAAAAGAGATATATTTATGAGATGAAGCGGACTAAAACCGTACTTGTCCATACTGTTTATTAATTTTATTGTTTTCATATTTGTTGTCTTTGTCTTTGATTAAATGACGAAATACCTCGTATTTTTCTTGAAATACTATCCAACTGTGTTAGTATTCTATATAAAAATTGCTGTAGAGTAGTTTTACTAACCAAGCTTGAGAACATTTTTTACAATTGTTCTTTTTTGCAAATGTTTCGGACTTTGTACTTTGCCCTCACGTGACCTTTTTCCCCCATTTTTTACAAACGTACAATGCCATATAATAAAAAAAAACTTACTGACCTCAACCGTTCGGGCAGTACGGGAAAATATCCAACCTCGGTCTTGCTGTATTGACCACGCTATCGCTCGGTCAATACAGCAAGACCTCGGTTGGATATTTTCCCGTACTGCCCTCACTCTCGGTCAGTAAGTTATTAATATATATATATATATATATATATATATATATATATATATATATATATATATATATATATATATATATATATATATATATATATATATATGCCTCTTGTTTACTTTAATTTCGAGAATTTGAGCATACTAAATTTAGTAAATTATGTTTCGCAAATATTGTTTGCTTTATGTTCCGATACACAGGAAATGAAATTAGTTCAGCCGTCATAGGCGTACGGGCGGGAAAAAATCAGGGAGCCAGAAAGAAATTTACCCGACTTTTACCCACTGAATAAAATTTTCCGTGTAACTAAATTTCCAAAATTGTCGTTGGGAAGTAGACAAAAATATTTTCCTATTTGTCGATTCCTCGTTACTTTTACATATTTCTGGTATTTTCAAATACTATATTGCATGTACTGTCTTCTTTTTAAATTTATTTTCCCCAATATATTTTTTCCCGAATATATACGTTTATAATTTGGATGATTTTATTTTGACTGGTGGGCGGGACTGCCTCCCCCCCGCCTCGTCCGTACGGCTATAATCAACCGTTGTTACGGATCGGTTATACAGTATATTGTGTTAAAAATATTTTGACTTTGTTGTTTCTGATTACATTTCCCGACTCTCGACTTTTTACTCTCAATCGACTCTCGACTTTTTACTCTCGATCGACTCTCGACTTTTTACTCTCGATCGACTCTCGACTTTTTACTCTCGACTCTCGACTTTTTACTCTCGACTCTCGACTTTTTACTCTCGACTCTCGACTTTTACTCTCGACTCTCGACTTTTACTCTCGACTCTCGACTTTTAGATACACTCACAGTTACGCTACAGTGAGCTCTATATATAACTGGAGCAACGAGCAATTACGCTACAGTGAGCTCTATATATACCTGGAGCAACGAGCAGTTACGCTACAGTGAGCTCTATATATAACTGGAGCAACGATCAGTTACGCTACAGTGAGCTCTATATATACCTGGAGCAAGAACTTCAGTCACTTAGCCTGGGAAAAATGAAGGCAAGATGGTCATGGCTAGAAATCTGCGACAGCCAGCGGTTTGTAATGCAGGCGCACGCGCCGTCAGTACGTCATGTTAATGAACATATTGAAAAGCTGGAAAGTACGTAAAGAAACGCTCTTTAAATGTATATGCCCAATAAAGACATGCTTCCTTCTCGTCGGCAAACACTACAAACTCCTTTATATTATCCTGTGGAGCGACTGATTAGTTGTCGCTTGTTTTACTAGACAAATCCTCACTTGTTTTACTAGACAAATGACTTTAAATGACTTTTTAAAACTGTTGGACAATGGACAATAGCTAAATGATAAGTAAATCATGTCAGTGACATAATTATGTCCAACATTTAATATTTTATGTCACTAGCTGATATTATCTCACCTTTATAGAATATGAATCACGGACAAGAATATGAAAAAAAGCAAAAATTTCGATGCGCTTGCATCGCGTTTTAGCGAAGTAACAAGGCGATTTTAAAATGAAAAATAGAGGCAAAATATACCATTCTTTCCTCTACTTGGGAACAGTATTGATATAATATCTTTAGATAAAATTGTGATAAAATTCATGGGGAGAACAAAGTGTATCGATTACGATTTATGGAAATCCAATGTTGATGTACGATCAGCCTGAAAATTGAAGCGATTATGGGGTTTCGTCGTGAAAATAACCTGGATTACTAGTAAAGTGCGCGTGATTATATACGACGATTATCATTCAAGATCGATTTATGGAATCATCATATTTGGTTTGTAGGACCAACAAAAGCCGAAAAGGCAAGTTAACGTAATGCTTTTCTGGTTATTAAACTTATTCACTTAATATTTACATTACAAAGGAGCTAAGCGTGCGTGTCGGCCATGTTGTCGCAGATTTCTAGCCATGGGAAATTGATGTTCAATAGTTATGAAGGTCGTCAAAGTTTTAATACCATTTTCCCAGCCAATTACAGTTTTTTCTAACAGACCCTATCGCTAAACAAGTTATCAGTTCATAAAACCATAGTATTATTCTTTAAATCCATGTCAAAATACGAAATTTTGGCACAGTCCTTACCAGCTTCGTGTTAACCATGTAGGCATAATAACCGTGTTAACCGTGTTAATGGTTTATGGCTCTTTTAAAAGCATTTTGCTGGGCTTTAATATTTATTATTAGAATTCGTGTTAACCACATAGACAAAACCAATAGAAAGGGCCTGGAACTGCCACCCAAAAGTTCCTTCAATTAACACCATCTTGGCTTCACTTTTCGGACTCGAGTTCTCGTTCCAGATACATATGGAGCTCAGTGTTACCAGGCATGTAATCGTTAAACAGTAAACAAGCTTTTCCAAAGTACAAAACCAAATCGAGAATTGCTAAGCAGGCTGACATTGAAGGCAAATCATTACCTGTTGAACTTGAAGTAATCACGGTCAAATATTTTTAATCTCCCATCAAAAGCCTATAATTAATGCAGATGATTGAAGTCAATTACTATAATATAGACCCATTGCATTGACGTCATAAATCCTTAGAGTGTCCTCCAGATGCTCCCTAACAATAGAGAGTTTAAGTTCGACTTCCGATACCAATACCGATACTAACAACATGTCATGCGCATGCTCTGTACTCGCAAGAAGCACGAGGACAAGTGTATCGGAAGTCACCACTACCGAAGTCGGCCTTGTATTGGAAGTCGGGGGAATTGTAAGATAAACTCATATAAATCGGATATTTCATAATTTTTACGATAAACATGTAAACTATTTGTTTATTAGCATCGCGTGAGTCATGTTTTAGTCGGAATTTTAGCTCAACTGCTTTTAGTATACCGCACATGTTCGGTGACGAATAATGTCTGTATACTTTATCTGTCGTGATAACTTAACGCTTTAAAATTCCCGGTACCAAAATGAGAACGGAAGTGAAAACATCGGTATCGGTATTCGTATTGGAAGTCGAACTTAAACTCTCTAATATCTGTTCAGGTACAACAATCACATAGAGCACAAAAATTAACTATTTTAATACAAAATTATTATAAAGTTTTACAAAATTTGCTTTGTTTTCACTAAGTTATATTGTGCATAGATTGCTAATTTGTCCTCCAGAAGCATCGTCACCGGCGCTGTGACGTCATGTGCAATGGGTCTATACTTGAGAGATTACAAGTCTTACAAGATCACTCTACCTGAAAAATATAACAAGAATTTCGATGTTCCGAGCAAAGGCTTTTCTCTGGAATTTGGTAGTGTGGGTCGGGAAAGCATATTATATATATTTCAAACACTCATTAATAATTCATAAGCTTATTGGCAAATCATGTCAACCATAATATGTCACGTGCAGTGGCTTTAAACCTGATAAAACACTCCTAATTAGTATTCTTTATATAAAGAATACTAATAAGGCAATATCTATTGTAGTCGTGTCCTCATTAGTATTCTTTGTATAAAGAATACTAATAAGGCAGTATCTATTGTAGTCGTGTCCTCATTAGTATTCTTTATATAAAGAATACTAATAAGGCAGTATATCTATTGAATTTGTAGTCGTGTTTGAAGCCGTTTAATAAACTCGCAGGTCGTGTTTTATTAGGTCTAAACCCACTCGCGCTAAACCTAATAAAACACTCCTACTCGTTTATTAAACATTACTCGTTTATTAACAAACTCATCTTCATTAGTATTCTTTATATAAGTGTTCATCCTAATTAGTATGATTACATAATTCTTCATCCTAATTAGTATTCTTTTGTAGTTGTATTTTTCTCGTGTTTTAAATACTACTTAAATACTACTTCAGGAATCATCAGGTGGTGAGTAATTTCGAAAATGTAGGTTGCTTTTATGCTATCGAAAGAATGCGCGGAATGCGTGTAGGCGAAACAATGCTTAGGTGAAACAATTGATGCTTAGGCGAAACAATGCTTGGGTCGAAATCGGTTTTTGTGACGGAAGACATTGGCAAGACAAAATTGGCAAGGAAAACATCGGCCTTTATAGAGATGACGGTTTGGCTATTATAAAAAGCAAATCCGCCCGTTTACTAGACAAAACTAGAAAAGAGTTACACAAAATTTTCGAGCAATTTGACCTGAAAATCACCGCCGAAGTAAATTTGAACGTTGTAAATTTTTTAGATGTTACTTTCGACCTGAACAACGCAAAACACAAACCATACAGGAAACCCAATGACGATCCATTGTACATCAACAGACATTCAAACCATCCATCAAGCATTACAAGACAATTACCTACAGCTATCAACAAACGCATTGCACTTCTCTCATCGGACGAACAAACATTTAAGGAATTTACCTGAACGCCCTTAGACGAGGCTTTCGTATCCGTTACTCGAGATATTCCTCCCCTTAGTCCTATCCCTTTCCCCGATAGCCAATTACAAAGCGATTGTACTACAATTCCAACCGAGTACATTATTAGGGAAGAAGACATTTATTATAAATTATCTTCAATATCATCCTCGAAAGCGGCTGGTCCAGATGAAATACCGAATTGGGTCCTAAAAGATTATGCGCCCCTGCTGTCTTCCCCTGTTACTTCAATCTTCAACGCCTCCCTTCAACAGGCGTCTGTTCCCGCGGTATGGAAAAAAGCCGACGTCATCCCTGTACCTAAAAATAAGGTGCTGAGGGACATTACTAAAGACTTGCGTCCCATCTCGCTTACTGCCACTTTGTCAAAAACCGTGTGAACGTTTTGTCGCAGACTGGCTGATGGAGTTGATTGGTGAGAAGATCGATAAACGGCAATTTGGATCTCTAAAAAACTCTTCAACAACACATGCATTATTGAGCCTTCTCCATCACTTATTAAACGAAACTGATGTGCCGAAAAACGCTGTGAGAATTTTTTTATTAGACTTCTCCAAAGCTTTTGATCATATCGATCATAACATCCTCCTCAGTAAATTATCTGATATGGACGTTCCATCATTAATAACAAACTGGATAAGAAGTTTTCTTACTCAACGAAGCCAACGGGTCAGAATGCCCCATTGTGTGTCAGAATGGCAAATCCTCAACGGTGGAGTACCCCAGGGAACTGTTTTAGGCCCAATCCTCTTCCTAATCATGATAAACGACCTCCTCGCTGATTGGAAAGACCGATGGAAATACGTTGACGACACCACCACTACCGAAACCATTGGCCCAGATTGTAACAGCAACCTTCAAGAACTGGTTAATTACATCAATAATTGGACTACGAGTAATAATATGAAATTAAACATTGGAAAATACAAAGAACTGGTTATTGATTTTGCAAAAAAGAAGCATTGCTTTCCCCCTTTAACAGTCGATAAAGTTAATATTGAACGAGAGAAATCTGCCCGTATCCTTGGCCTCACAGTCCAAGATAACATGAAGTGGAATGAACATATAAATAACATAGTTAAAAAAGCTAGCAAGAGGCTCTATATGCTAAGACTGCTAAAAAGGTCCAACGCGTGTATTGACACGTTAATTACTGTATATACTACCATTATTAGGCCTGTTTTAGAGTACGCATGCCAGGTCTGGCATTACAATATCCAACAATATTTATGTGACGATATTGAAAAAATACAAAAACGCGCGTTGAGAATAATCCTCCCATCGCAAAAGTACGACGAAGCGCTGATCACGACTAACATCACGTCACTGAGAGATCGACGAGAAAAATTATGCGAACATTTCTTTGAGAAGAATATTGACAATGAAAATCTCAAAGATCTTTTACCACAAACAGTTTTATCTGGATATGATCTAAGACCGATATGTAAATATCATAATTATGTTTGCAGAACCGAACGTTTTAAGAATTCGTTTTTACCTCAAAGTATATTAAAGATTAACAGTAAATAAGTTTTTAGAAATGTAAATAATCTTAAATATGTAATTATTATGTAATTTTAACTTATCCTCTTAATTTATGTAATACTGGTGTAATTTAACCTTTTTGGGTTACAAAGTCAGTAGTTATTAAATCAATTCAATTCAATTCATAGTAACTTTGATCACGAATTTACGTACACTCAAGATGCACCGCAACGGACACGTAGGAATAGGTAACGCAACATAATTTGGTTCAACTCACCATTTAGTAAGAGTGTGAACACGAACATAGGACGGGAATTCTTAAGTTTAATTGACAAACACTTCCCACTACAGCACAGAAACAGTTTAAAAGTAAGCTACAGTTGCATGAACAACGTTAAGTCTATAATCACCAAACACAACGCACATATAATTAGGAACAGTCAATCACAGAATACGGAAACTGACAACTGTAACTGCGACAACAAAAACACTTGCCCACTACCGAAACAATGTATGACCAACAACATTATTTACAAAGCAACAGTCACAACGAACAACACGAACGACACTAAACACTACATTGGTATGACAGCGACTACATTTAAGGAACGTTACGCTAACCACACTTCATCTTTTCGTCATAAAAAAAGACTCAAACAAAACGGAACTTTCGAAACATATTTGGAAATTAAAAGAAAACAATTAGAATTATAACATCAAATATAATGACGTGACGCGCTTGGCGCGCGAGCAGCGAGTCAAATCGCTCCGTAAAATTACTAAATTTCGACCGTATTTCTACAACTTTTTGGGTTAAATTTATAAAAGAATTGTGGATAAAGTGACTATCTTTGGGAAAGTGAAGTTGGTGTGGTAAAATTTTAAGTATTGCTCTGTATTTTGTTGAATTATTTTTCAAATTGCAAGAGAATTTACAACTGGTTTATAAGCACGCGCAAGCCGGACGGTTGAATTTGGCGTGCGCATACGACTACGTGATAAGTTTGCGCGCGTGATTCAAAGGACGATCTTACGAACTGTGTTCGACTCGAGCGCGTGCGGAATTACGGTCATCTATTAGAACAATTATATGAATAACTAGTGACTTAATTATAACTTTTCGGAAAATACGAATTAAAATGCTTAAAACCCACCAAACTTTCGCCAAATCAGCATCATTTTGGACTGTGTGTCTCGTGGTGTCCTTCTGGCTGTCAACAAGATCTAAACCTGATGTGAACATTATCGAAAATGCAACTGGAAAAGGCATTCTTATTTCCCCGGAACTTGCTATCTTACCGGACAAACTGTGCTTTATCTGGGCTTCTACGCGTGATAGAAAGTTACGAAAGTTTGCTCTTCCCGAAAAACATCGTTACGGACTGGAGTTTCACATTTCTCGCAAATGTTCTCACGTTGTGCTACTTATTCTCCTTGCTGGCGACATAGCAACCAACCCAGGTCCTACAACTGGTTCACGTGAAACAGACAATTCAAAAACTAGTCTCGAGTTAAAAGTTCTGTATTTAAATGCCAGAAGTCTAAAAGCATTTGTTCATTCAATTGGGGACAAATCGGTAAAAGTTTGTAAAATCTCGTTATTGCAACAACTGACATATGATGGTAATTACGACGTTGTATGTGTATGTGAGACCTGGTTAAACAACTTAATCTTAAGCAGTGAGATCTTGCCAAATTATGGATCTATCTTCCGATGTGACAGAGCTGACAGAATTGGTGGTGGTGTTCTTGTTGCTGTGAAGACTGGTATACAAGTCACACGCAGACATGATCTAGAACCTGATAATACGGAACTTGTTGTTACTGAGTTAATGAAATCTAACAACAAACCAATTATACTTTACACGTTTTATCGTCCCCCCGACTCTAAACCCGATGTCCTTCAGCAGCTAAATTATTCTATCCAAAACAACCCAGAATCAAGTCGTATTGTATTGATAGGCGATTTTAATCTACCATCAGTTAAATGGTCGTCTGATCAGAAAACCCCCATCAACATCGGAGGACCTGCTGAGAATGAAATCTTTTGCGATTTGGTAGACGACAACTTCCTTCTGCAATACATACTTGGCCCTACCCATACTGCTGGTAATAAACTCGATCTGTTGATGTGTAACTCTCCTGAAATCGTCGGCGACGTCTCCGTTCTCCATCCCGAGACCAGTGGTTTCCCAACAGATCACTACATCGTGGAATTTGACGTGAAGTTGAAGTTTAAAAGAGCCAAGCCAATAAAGCGCCGAGTATTCGACCATGGAAAAGGAAATTTCGATGAGCTACGTAACTTCCTGACACGATATCCCATTAATGTTACCCCAACTGATAGCATTAATGATGACTGGGAACAATGGAAGGACACTTTCTTAACTGCTGTGAGAATGTACATCCCGATGAGAACTGTCAAAGACAAAAATAGTCCACCATGGATCGATAAAGAAGTGCGTCAACTAATCCGTAAGAAGTACAAAGTTCTAAAACAATATCGCAGGAACAAATCTGCTGATCGAAAGCGTAAATTACGAAGCGTTACTCAACAAATCAAATACTTGATTCGAAGTAAACACCGAGGCTATCTGGCTAAAATAGAAAGTTCGTTCTGTGACAACCCCAAACTATTCTGGAGTTACCATAAATCAATTCTTCACCACCGGACAGGTCAGAGCAACGAAATAACATATAATGGTTTCACAGCCAAGACGGCGAAAGAAAAAGCGGATCTTTTTAACACTTACTTTTCTTCAGTGTTTCGTCCATCTTCTACCACTTGTAACCAGACGCCTCGAACGGAAAGCAAAGAGAACATCTCGGAGATAACAATCGATGTAGACGAAGTTGCGCAATTTTTGCGTGCCCTTGATACCTCGAAAGCATGTGGCCCCGACGGCATTCCAGCTCGCCTGTTACAAGTATGCGCCCTTGAAATCGCACCAAGCATATGTGAGTTGTTTAACCGTTCCTTGCATACTGGTCATGTTCCATCTGAGTGGAAATCTGCGAATGTTACACCCGTCCACAAAAAAGATCTTAAAGAACCGGCGGAACATTACAGACCAATATCGTTGCTGCCCATCGTTGGCAAAGTACTAGAGCGTTGCGTGTGCATCAGACTATATAATCATGTCAGGCACCTCGTCACAAAAGCACAACATGGTTTCCTTAGACGGCGATCTTGCGTTAGTCAACTACTATCGGTACTACACGCCATCGGGCAATCCCTTGACAAAAACGTTCAAACTGACGTTATCTACCTCGACTTTGCGAAAGCTTTTGACTCTGTCGATCACCAAATTCTCCTCCACAAGCTTGCGTCATACGGTGTGTCAGGTCATTTATATGAATGGTTCGCGGACTATCTCAGTGGTCGTCGTCAAAGGGTTGTGATTGATGGAGCTACATCTAATTGGGTGCCAGTTACATCTGGAGTGCCGCAAGGCAGTCTCCTGGGTCCTATTCTGTTTGTGATATTCATAAACGATCTTCCCGACATATTACCTGACGAGACTTTGGCAGCTTTGTATGCAGACGACACCAAACTGTACAAGTCCATCACATCAGTAGGTGACTGTGAAAGTTTGCAACAAGCTTTAACAGACCTTGACTGCTGGAGCCGTGACAACAACCTCAATTTTAACGAGTCGAAGTGTAAGGTGTTGACAATTACAAGGAAAAAAACCCCGCTGACGTACGCATATCACATGGGCTCAAAGGAACTTACTCGTGTGAATAAGGAAAAAGATCTTGGTGTATTCATAAATTACAACCTCTCATGGGACGATCATGTTCATACCATCACCGCCAAAGGGAACAAGATGCTTGGCATGCTGAAAAGAACTTGCCCTCTACTGACTAACACCGCAGTGAGGCGGACGCTGTACTTGTCACTCGTGAAGTCCCAGATAAGTTACGCCACCGAAGTCTGGTCTCCACCTACCATCAAAATGAGATCCACAGTGGAACGTGTACAAAGGAGAGCCACCTCTTGGATGCTGCAAGCCAAGCGCGGAGAAATTGCATATAAACAGCGGCTGATAACCCTTGGCTTATTACCCCTGTGCTACGAAAGAGAAATAAAAGACTTAGTGTTCTTTTTTAAGGCACTGTATGGACATATTGATCTTGACGTGCATAGTTTCGTTTCATTTGTCAACAATGGCCGAACACGACTTAGTCGAAATCCTTCTCTCACACTCAAAATTCCTTTCTGTAAATCCAAAACATTTCAATCCTCATATTTCAACCGGCTTGTCAAGTTATGGAACCACGTCTGCAAAATTCTTCCCTCTACCACCTTTGCCAGCCTCTCCATCTTCAAAAGATCTCTTAAAGCCACTTACGCTAACTTGCTTACGGCAACATTTGACGTGGACATGCCATGCACATGGACACTGGTGCGGGACTGCCCCTGCCACAGATCTTAAGTAGTTTTAATAGACGGTTCCTCTTATTGTGTTCACTGAATGCAACCACATTATGCTGATGCAATTGAAGCATTCATTATGCTTGTGAGTTTGAAATTATTATGCCTGCAATACATCCGTGAAGCATTCATTATGCTTGTGAGTTTGAAATTATTTTGCTAACACATCCGTGAAGCATTCAGGTGGTTGCGTTCATGGTCATACTAATAGGGGGAAGCGGCTTTTATATATTTGTATTTTATGTATGTGTGTATTTATATTTATGTACGTATTCGCTGCTTCGGGGTTTGCACCTTGCATGGGACTTCGCGTCTCGTTTGTGCTTATGCCATTTGAGTTCATATTAATTATACATAATATTAATTAATTATATAATGTAATGTTCTCAATAAATATATTTGAATATCTTGAATATCAAATGGTCAATTTTAAAACACGCTATTTCGTACACAGGGGGATCAAAACGCTGAAATTTATGGGTGTCTGTAAAAGCCGGAACCCCACCCGGAACACCCGGAACCCACCCGGAACCCCACCCGGAACACCCGGAATCCTACCCGGAACACCCGGAACCCCTCCCGGAACACCCGGAACCCTACCCGGCACACCCGGAACCCCACCCGGAACACGCTGGAATACGAGCTATGAAGCAACGCACGTGTTTCTCTATAAATTCACGTGTTTCGCATTAAATTCGGGGTGATGGATGGTTACGATCTTTACTTTTTACTTGTATTGTT